GAGGAATTGATAGAGGGTAGAATGACTAAATACTGATTTTGGTTCGTTGTCATATTTAAACAGAAGACAACGATTTCTTATCCAATCAGGAACATCACTTTGTTTACTTCCATTAATCAGAACAGGGATAAGTTCTTTAGAAGCTGCACCCTTCTTACTAAACCTTTTTTCCACCATGCTGTAAATCTGTTTTTGTGCCTCGCGATGATGTTGATTGGTCTCATTATTTCGATGTAAAAAATCTTTTAGGTTAAATTTTGGTTTTACATAGTCAAGATAATGTTCTGTTGCCACCATTATGACGCAGTCACACTGAAAAATAGCAAACACATAAAATATACATTTTAATATTTATACTAGATATATAGATATACTACTTCTAACATTTATTAACTCAATATTTCATATGTTCAGACAGACAGTGTTATCAAATATTATATAGAATCACTAGACATATAGATATACTATTTCTAACATTTATTAACTCAATGTTTCATATGTTCATACAGACAGTGTTATCAAATATTATATAGAATCACTAGATATATAGATATACTATTTCTAACTCAATGTTACACTTACTCACACGGACAATGTTATCAAATATTATATAGAATCACTAGATATATAGATATACTATTTCTAACATTTATTAACTCAATGTTTCATTATGTTCATACAGACAGTGTTATCAAAATATTATATAGAATCACTAGATATATAGATATACTATTTCTAACATTTATTAACTCAATGTTACACTTGCTCACACGGACAGTGTTATCAAATATTATATAGAATCACTAGATATATAGATATACTATTTCTAACGTTTATTAACTCAACATTTCATTATGTTCATACAGACAGTGTTATCAAATATTATATAGAATCACTAGATATATAGATATACTATTTCTAACATTTATTAACTCAACGTTTCATTATGTTCATACAGACAGTGTTATCAAATATTATATAGAATCACTAGATATATAGATATACTATATCTAACATTTATTAACTCAATGTTTCATATATACTCATACAGACAGTGTTATCAAATATTATATAGAATCACTAGATATATAGATATACTATTTCTAACATTTATTAACTCAATGTTTCATATATACTCATACAGACAGTGTTATCAAATATTATACAGAATCACTAGATATATAGATATACTATATCTAACATTTATTAACTCAATGTTTCATATATACTCATACAGACAGTGTTATCAAATATTATATAGAATCACTAGATATATAAATATACTATTTCTAACGTTTATTAACTCAATGTTTCATATGTTCATACAGACAGTGTTATCAAATATTATATAGAATCACTAGATATATAGATATACTATTTCTAACATTTATTAACTCAATGTTTCATATATACTCATACAGACAGTGTTATCAAATATTATATAGAATCACTAGATATATAGATATACTATTTCTAACGTTTATTAACTCAATGTTTCATATATACTCATACAGACAGTGTTATCAAATATTATATAGAATCACTAGATATATAAATATACTATTTCTAACGTTTATTAACTCAATGTTTCATATGTTCATACAGACAGTGTTATCAAATATTATATAGAATCACTAGATATATAGATATACTATTTCTAACGTTTATTAACTCAATGTTTCATTATGTTCATACAGACAGTGTTATCAAATATTATATAGAATCACTAGATATATAAATATACTATTTCTAACGTTTATTAACTCAATGTTTCATATATACTCATACAGACAGTGTTATCAAATATTATATAGAATCACTAGATATATAGATATGCTATTTCTAACATTTATTAACTCAACGTTTCACTTGTTCATACAGACAGTGTTATCAAATATTATATAGAATCACTAGATATATAGATATACTATTTCTAACGTTTATTAACTCAATGTTTCATTATGTTCATACAAGACAGTCTTATCAATAACGCTGTCATAGCATATTTATGTATTGTTTGCTTCTTTAACTATGTAAAAAAAACTTTTTACTTTTACTCATACAATAGATAAAGTCATAATTACCTGTGTAAATATCTGTTTCAACCAGGTTTTGTGTTGCAACCGAATGCTGCTGAGTTCTTCTCGACTGGGCGGTGGATTGATTTTCAGTTCCTCACGAAGATATGCCACGTAGCCAATATCATGTTTGCTGAGATCTCGCACTAGATTTTGAACAATACTTGAGGTAAGTTCATCACTGACCGCGGTCACCAAAACTCGTATAGGTCTTCCTTTTTCTGAAATATAAATCATTTTTTTACTTCAGCTTAAAACCAGTCTTTCATGTGGGCTTATAAAAAACTAGGAATTTTACTTTCTATTTCTATATAAAGTAGAGTCTCAAGAAGGACAAGTCGTCTTTTTAACTTTCAAATCTAAACACGGCTAATGTTGAACACACATGGATCAAATTTTGACGGTGAGCTGAGAACACTATAATTGATTAGCTTAATCAGGAACTTTTCGTTTCTGAGACTTATGCATGATTAGTAAAACGAGTGGCGAGTCTGTCCATTTCATATGATTTTCATATCAGATTTAACCAACATATAGGAGTGACAGTTACATAAAAAATAAATAGAAGCAGAAGGAAAATTTC